GGATGACAAAGACTGCGCTTAACAAAAATGTTGAGTTTATGGCATGTGTAGACACAAAGATGCTTTAATTTATTTTATTTTATCTTGACTTTCATAACAGCAAGCATTCTGATATTTGCCTAGGCAAAAAAACATGTATTTTGTTATCTCCTTTGTGTCATGGCTCTCTAGGTTCCTTGTACTTAGTGCTGCTGTCTCTATACTTTGTCCTGCATTCCATAGGGGTCTAAATATTTCCAGATTGTTTGTTTGTTGTCTCTTTTCCAACCACCAATTATACCTCCCTTTCCCTTAATTTGGTTGATCTTAGTTAAGCGTTAAGAAAAGGAATTAGATAGAAGAATATTATCAATATAAATAATAAAAAGATCCATTCTGTCATAAAGGGGGAAAACTATAATATGAATGAATGGATATTTAGATTTAAAGGAATTAGTTACCCTGAATTGACCTCTAATGGATGGAGTTTTGGGCAATATAGGATGTATTTTTGCCATTTGGAAAAAACTGCCTACTCTCACCTACATGTAAGACTGGTCTTAATGTTACATTTTTTATTTTCCCCAAAGGAGAGAAACAGAACTATAAGCGAAGATGGTAGTTCAAAGAAGTACATGGTATGTCATTGAATATAAGAATTTCTTTTAGATTTCTAACTTTTTTAAAAATATCAAGGCTATAGATTTATATTTCGGAATCATCTGAGTTTTTCTACATAGCAAGAAAAGGAAGCAAATAGAACTTTATCTGTACTATTTTGTCTCTATCAGCTTCCTGAGAGTTACATATCATTTGTAACAAATGGCCTTTTTTTGCTCATCTTATTGCTTTAAGCATATTTTAAAGGTTTATTTCATTGCCTCAAGTATGTTTTATAAGTCAGTTCTCATTCTGGCTAACCTCACACAATTTTTATAGATTGGAGATAGTATCATTGGTATAGATCTCAGCAGTTTACAAAGTACTTTCATGTGTATCAATTAATTCTGTTTTGTATTCCCTTATGTGATCTTTCCCTTCATATAATTTCTTGGAAATTATTAACTCATGTGTTTCCTAAACTACCACATTATTATTTCATTGAGATAATTGGTGACTATATGTCAGAAATGGGATAATAATGGTTTTGCAGCCTCTACTCTTTCTTGATCCATGGTTCCTTGAGAGTCTTTGATGGTGGAGTCAACCTTTTCTGTAATAATTTTAAATCCTTTTTTCTATGGCCCAGTGTGTATGTATGTGTATATGTGCACGTGTGTGTGGTCCTTCATTTCACTGTTGCGCTTTCTCATCTGTTATCTACCAGCCTGTCAGCTTTTTTGTCTGGGAGAGTCTTTATTTCTCCTTCATGTTTAGGGATATTTTTGCAGGATGTAATGTGCTAGGATTAAAGTACTTTTCCTTCATCACTTTGAATATGTCATGCCATTCTCCTGGCCTGTAAGGTTTCCAGTAGAAGTCTGCTGCAGATGTATTGAACCACATTTATATGTTACTTGTTTCTTTTCTCTTTCTGCTGTTAGGATCCTTTCTTTATCTATGACATTGGAATTTGATTACTTAATGCCTAATGGTAGTCATATTTGAGTTAAATCTGCTTGTTTTCTATGACCTTCTTGTACCTGAATATTGATATCTTTCTCTAGTTTAGAAAGTTCTCTGTTATTTCTCTGATAAAACTTTATACTACAATCTCTCCTTTTCTTCAAGGCCAGTAATGCTTAGATTTGCTCTTGAGACCATTTTCTAGATCTTGTAGGCGTGCTTCATTCTTCCTCATTCTTTTTCTCTTCTGTGTATTTTCACATAGCTTGCCTTCAAGCTCACTAATTCTTTCTTCCACTTGATCAATTCTGCTGTTGGGAGACTATGATGTATTTTTTAGTTCATCAGTTGCATTTTCATCTCTAGAATTTCTGCTTGATTTTAAAAATTATTTCAATTTCTTTGTTAAAGTTTTCCTATAGGATTCTGAATTCCTTTCTATGTTGAAGGTCATTTAAAAATTATTTCAATCTCTTTGTTAAATTTTTCCTATAGGATTCTGAATTCCTTTTCTATGTTGTCTTGAAGTTCACCTCAAAACAGCTATTTTGAATTCTCTGTCTGAAAGGTTGTGTATCTCCATCACTCTGGGATTGGTTACTGGTGCCTTATTTAGTTCATTTGGTGAGGTCATGTTTTTCTGGATGTCCTTGATGCTTATGGATGTTCATCAGTATCTGGGCATTGAAGAGTTAGGTATCTATTCTCATCTTTCCAGTCAGGACTTGATTGTACCCATCCTTCTTGGGAAGATTTTCCAGGTAGTCAAAGGGAATTGAGTGTTGTGATGTTTAAGTCTTTTATCACCGCAGCCATATCAGCACTAGGGGAGCCTCAAGGCCAATAACACTGCAACTTTTGCCGCTCCTGTCATACCACCATGGTGAGCTTGGGTTAGATACAGGAGAATTCCCTGGATTACCAAGCAAACTCTCTTGTACTCTTCCTTCACTTTCCCCTAAAACAGAAGGAGTCTCACTCTCCATGCTGGGCTGCCTGGAGTTGGGGTAGGAGGATGCAGGTACTCCTATGGACACTACAGCTTGGGACTTGTTGTATCAACCTGAAGCCAGCAAGTACTAGGGTCCGCCCAAAGCTTATGGCAACTATGGCCTGGGTACCATTGATGTTTATTCCAAGCCCAAGGGATCTTTAATCGCCAGGTGGTGAATCTTGCCAGGACTGGGTCCTTCTCTTCAGGGTAGTAGTTACCTTCTGGACCAGGGTAGGTCTGAAATACCATCCAGGAATTAAGGCCTGAAATCAGGGGCTTCAGGATCTACTTCATACTTTATTTTATTGTGGCTGAGCTGGTACCCAAGTTGCAAGACTAGGTTCTCTGTAATCATCTTCCCTTTCCTACCCCCAAGCAAAAGGAGTCTGTCACTGAGCTGTACTGGCTGGAGTTGGGGGAGGGGTGACACAGGCACTCCCTTGGCTAATGTAGCTCGTATTTCACAGGTCACGTGTACCCCTAGTCCACTAACTCTGAAACCAGCACAGCTCTAGGACTTGCCCAAGGACTGGAGTCTTTGTGGCTGCCTGCCTTTCAAATTTATTCTGGGCCCCAGACCCTTTTAGTCAGCCAGTGGTGGAGATAGCTGGAACTCAGTTTCCTACCACTGCTGAAGAGAATTCCCCTCTGGCCAGGGCTGGTCTCGATACTTCCTGTGTGGGTGTGGGTAGAATTCTTCCCCGTGTTGTGTTCCACAGTGACAGGGCAGCACTGAATTCTAATGCAAAGTCCCACAATCCCTCCCCCTCCCCGAAGCACATAGATTCTGTCCATATAGCTCTGCCAGGGGATGAGGGAAGGGTGGCGTAGGTAGTGCAAGACTGTCTTTCCCACCCTCTTTCTTTGATACAATGTTAAAACCAGGTACTGTGGTTGCTGACCTGATTTTTGGTTCTTATGAAGGTGCTTTGTTATGTGGATAGTTCTTCAATTTGGTGTTCTTGCAGGAGGAATGATGACTGGAGGGTTCTATTTGGCCATTTTGCTTTGCCTCCTCCCTTCAGGAAACTGAGCTTTAATCACATATTGTCACAAAAAGAGGCTTGAGAATTCCTGTTTAGCATTTACACTTAGCTTTAGGAAGAGAATTTTACAGTAAAATTTGAAAATTTCTTTCAATATTAGAGAGGATTTTAGACAAAAAGATGCCCCAAGGAAGGAAGGTAGAAATTTGGTTTGCCTTTACATTAATTTTAAAGTGATATATTTTTCTCTAATTTGAATTATATTGCAGACAAGACTGAATAGGGTGAAAGAATGAATAACACTTTCCACATCTTTTTTAATTCAGTATTCCTGGTGAGCCTTTGCATTTTATTTAAAGATGAATTCTCAATCTGTCAGATATTCGTATTTGTTTAAATAGATGTTTATCAATCTTTTGATATGTTAGGAAGTATGCTAATTGTACTCTTACATATAATCTTCTTCAAGTCATTCTGTTAGGACAATAATATTATCCTTATTTTATAAGTTAGGAAATTGATATTTAAGAGAAATTAGTCTAAGAAACAGCTGGTTAGTGACATGTCAGGCATTTGAAACCATACCTTTCAATTCTGGATGATCTATCCATTGTTAAAAGTTGAATATTGAGGTCCCCCACTATTATCATATAGCTGTTTATCCCTTTAGAACTATTAATATTTACCTTATATATTAAGGTGCTCTGATGTTGAGTGTATATGTATTTATAATTGCTATATTCCATTAATGAATTTCTACCTTTATCATTACATAATGACCCTCTTTGTCTCTTTTTACAATTTTTTCCTTAATGTCTTTTTGTCTGATATAATTGCCACCCTGCTTTCTTTTGGTAACCATTAGCATGAAACATCTTTTTTCCATCTCTTGACTTTCAGTCTATGTGTATCCTCAAACCTAAAGTGAGTCTGTATTGTAGGCAGCTTATAGTTGGGTATTTTTTTTTTAATTTATTCAGCCACACTATATCTTTAGATTGGAGAATTTTATTCATTTACATTCAAGATAATTATCAATAGGTAAGGACTTACCATTTCTACCTTATTAATTGTTTTCTAGCTATTTGTAGATTCCTTATTTTTTTTCTTCATCTTGCTGTCTTCCTTTGTGATTTGTTGATTTTCTGTAGTGCTTTGCTTTGATTCTTTTCTCTTTATCTTTTGTGTATCTACTTTAGATTCTTTGTGGTTACAATGAGTTTGCATGAAACACCTTATAGTTATAACAGTCTATTTTCTGATAACTTCCATTGTGTACAAAAACTCTATGCTTTTACTTCTCCTTCGCCCTCACATTTTATGTTTTTGATGTCACAATTAATATCTTTTTATATTGCATTAGCAAATTATTGTAGCTTTAGTTATTTTTTTCTTCCTGTCAGATCAGTTTAGCCATATCTAGTTATTTTTTAAATTTATTCTTCTAAGACTTCTGAATTATTTTTTATTCTTAGCCAAAGAAGTCAACACTGATATGGTAAGCTGTAATATTTACTGTACAAGAAAATTGGATTGATATTTTTATTAATGGTTATTTCTGTGTTTTCTATATGCCTCAACCAGTTTGATGAATAACTGCTGGTTTCAACAGTGATAATAAGTTGCATGTGTCAATGTGGTTTTTTAAGTATAAAAATGATTTCTGTAACACAGGTCATGTGTCTATAATAAAAAAATATGTTTTGCTTTAATTTTATGCTTGGATTAACTTCCTGTGTATAACATCATCTGTAATTGGACATATTCTGAGTTTAGTTTTATGACCTAAATTTTATTCAGTAATTTATCAGTTGAAATGGATGGGGGCATACATTTACCTTTGTATTATGAAATTGCTAAATAAATTAATCTGCATAACCAAGTGAAAAGTTTATTTTAAATTACTTTAAAACAAATATTAAAAGCTCTATTTGCATAAAAGTCATAATTTATAATATCTACTTTTTATAAAGAAATTCCCATAGTAAAGGAAGGGTGTTTTTAGGAACTAGTTTGATAGGAAATAATTAACAGTTGCAGCCTTATAGCAGCATTGTGGTACACTGTATTTATTTATTTTGAGTCTTTTGTTTTGGTTTGACAATATCACAAAAGTCTTGATTCACAGATAGAAATAATATTGCACTTACCTCAGTACTTTCCTGAGAGTGAATATGATTAGGCCAATCTCAATATAAACTAATAATAGCTCCATGCAGAACTACACTTTGCTGATCTACTGTACTATCATAAAAATTTTGAATGTGTGCAGAAATGGCAAAAAAAAAATTATTCCAAGATCCATTCTCTCTCTTACTATCTCCTGTCTCTCTCATTCTCCCTTCTCACTGAGTGGAAGCATAACCAAATTTTCTTTACCGATAATTAGTAAATTAGAAATTAAATTGCTAATATGGTATCAATAAAAGTCACTTGTTTCAGTTCTTCATGAACACAGTGACACAACTTTTGTTTTAGCTTATAAAACAAGATGATATGTAGCATATGTAAATGTATCTTTTTAAAAGGTATTTATAAGCACTATTTTGTAACTTATTGCTTGTATTAGAGATTGGATATTATTTGACATAAGCTATACCTCAGTGTCTATTTCCTTTTATTTATTTTTATTTTTTTTATTTCAGCATATTTTGGGGGTACAAATGTTTAAGTTACATACATTGCCTTTGCCCCACCCAAGTCAGAGCTTCAAGAATGTCCATCCCCCAGATAGTGCATACTGTACCCATTAGGTGCAGTACGCACCCCTCCCCATCTGGCCTACACCAATGAATAGTATTACCATATATGCACTTAAGTGTTGATCAGTTAATACCAATTTGATGGTGAGTATATGTGGTGCTTTATTTCCTTTTTAAGCATTGTTCACTTGTAAAGAAGAGGCAAAATTCATTCCATGGATTTAAGTTAAACTTAATCTTCCTAAAGGAAGTTGCCTATGTATTATTACTCCCTGTAGATTTACATATTGATGCAAAAATTTATTTGAATAATTGGAAACTAGAGAATGTATATGAAGAAAAATTTTCTCCATCTGAAAAACTGTTGCATACTAGAAGAGGGAAGGAAAGGAGACTATTTAGACTTACTAATTAATATCCTCTAAATTTACCAGATGGATAACCATATTTGGTTATAGAAATTACAAGCAATACTTTGGTATTTCTGAAGAAACTTTATAGGACAAAAAAAGCTGAGGTTTGCTACTCTTACATTTTATTAAAACCCATTTGAACATATTGTTATAATTATGTATTTGTTACTAATTTTTGGAGGAAGTATGTCAGTTTTTGTGATTGAAGTAGGAGGTACATGCAGTAAGATTATTGAATTTTTGAGAGAGATTTAGAGAACTTATTCATTTCTTACCTTCCTAAAGTTGTTTAAGCTATAGCTGTATTTCATTATCTGATTGTTAGATGGACTGCAGTAGCCACTAAAGTTCTGTGTAATGTAAAACACTATGCTAGGTTCTATCTCATGATTCTGATCATATTTATGTGTGCTAGAAAAATATTTAAGAGTTTAATCTAGAAATTTGACTAAATTTAATATATGTAATATGAATTAGAAAAATTTAGTAAAGAAAAAATTTTAGTTACTAGAAACATCCAGCCTATAATTTCTTTGAAGACTGATTTTTTAAAACCATTGAACTGTCATTCTTACTGTCTTTAATGAATTAACAGTTTATTTTATTAAATATCTCTTGCTTGCCATTTTGCCTTATTTTCTTTGAATTAATTGAGTTAATTGCTTTAGCAAGCATTGTTTAAAAATCTCAGTTTTCTAAAGGAACCTCTGTTGGTTTCTTTCTACTAGTTTTTCTTCTGTAATTATCTCAATTGTTTAATAATACAAATTGGTTGATTTATTCTTCCTTATAAGCATGATAAGAATACAAAATAAATATATAATGACTAGAATATATATGTATATTCAGTTACAGCAACAATTGAACAATTTAATATAATCTTACGTGGAAATAGCTTAAAAATCCTTTAGAATGTACATTATACTTTTTGTAAGTTGGTACATCACAGCATGTACCTAATTACATGTAATAAACTTTTTTTCTTGATAGAGAAACATTCTAACTTATACTGTTATAAGTAAATATGGTAAAGATTAAGATAGTTTGAATAAATGGTTACATATAGTACATTACATTTCTGAAGGCTGAGGATTTTATGAAGTCTGTATAAACAATTCATGAATTTATATATTACGTGATTTGTTTTATCACTATATATACTTTGGATAATTTATGAATCAGACAATCACATCCATAATATGTTTTAAGGTAATGTCAAAATTTTACCACGTTAGGCAGACTTAAGCTTTATTAAATTCCACATTAAAATTAGTATTTTTCTTTTTCTTCCTCTGATGTGAAAAATTATTTCCCATGTTTCTTTTTAAAACTTAAGCAGCAAACTAATAGAATTTTCATTTATCTTAATTGTGTTCCAGAAGGACCAGAAGAACTATTGTAACATAATTATTTGGCTGAGGAAACTGTACTGTAAGGCTTAAGAGTATTTTATTTGAATTTAAAATCATTTATATCTGCATTAAAGAGGGAAAGGAACTGTTGGGAGAAGATAGGAATGATTTGTTAATGTTAAATAAGCAAAATGTTTATACTTTATGTGTTTTTCCTCATGTATATATCCAAAATATAGACATAGTCTCAAGGACTCTTTAAATGTACATGTTAATGAACCTCTTTTTGTAAAGCTAATTTGAAAATGTCTTTATTTTAGGAAAAGAAAAGAAAGTGACTGAATACTTTGGACTCTTTCAATAGTCTCTCTTAACTTCCTCTCCAAGTTTTATATATTAAAAATAAATGTAATGACCAAATTAAAATATTTCACAGTGCTCTTTCTTATCAATTCTTTAATGTTTCAAGACACTGATCTTATAATTTGTAATGTCACTGCTATAATTTATAAACTAAAAAATTAGTTATCTGAATTTATTAAATTACTAGAATGGAGTCAGTTCCTTTGCCCAGTACACTTTAAGTTGATTGTAATGTATTACATTTAGAAAAGTAACCCCCAAATTTGCATATTTGGGGTTAGGTAAGTGGTTATTGAGAATTTATTATAAAAATATTGAATTTCCTGCTGGTACCCTTGGATATGGTACATATGGCTACAGATTAGCTGGTGCAGTAGTCACAATAAGTTGTTAGCTCAAACTTCATTATCATTTGTGGATTAACTAAACAGTGAATTTGATACAGTGTTACCGCATAATTTTGATGCTTTTTGCAGTAAATTTGATATAGAACAGTTGCTAAAGAAACGCTGTTCAAATGTGTGACCATTTTTATGGAAAACATCTGGAGTAATTATAATTAGTTCAGGATGTGTACTTGTTTAAAAATAATCTTGAATTCATGGAGGAAGAAGCATATCTTTTCCTTAATGACTAGAATAATCCAAATTAATTTGAAAAAAACCCTTTAAGTTATTAGTAGCTGTGTGTAGAGTAGGTTTTAGAGTATTCCAAAAGGAAATGAGGAGTAACTTTTATGTAAAATGCCAAATTGGCACTTTACACCTGTTAGTGTGTTTCGTTTAGAACAGCTGTGTCTTTTATTATCAGTAAACAGATGCAGAAAGTAATGGAATGTTTTAAAGCAATATGTTAATCCTGTCTTCCACTACTGAACTGTCTCACAATATAGTGATTAAATATTGACTGTGCAGCTGTTACTTACAATTATAGAATTTCTTAGTTAATTTCTCCTTCCCAGGCCCAAATATTTTAATATTTGGAGATCTAATTTCTATTCTTAAAGTGCTTTATAATTTATTTTATTTATTATAAATTGATATCTAAAGATAAATTATTTGAATAATATGGACAAAAATTCATGTTTGTAAAATTCATATTAAATGTGTCTGAATTGACTAATGTTCTTGGTAGGATAAATAATTTTTAAATGTATTTATTTTTCTTGTTCATAATATGAAGATGGTCATTGTATACAACAATCTTGTTTAATTTTATACATGAAAACCACCATCAGTGAACTAAATAAGACATTATGGTTTTTCATCAAGTATTTATGAACCAGTGTGCATAACACTTTCTTAGAATAATGATTATGAAAGTTATTGCAATTATAATAACCCTTTTGCAGTTTAATTGTAATCCTTATATTTCACATTGTCCAAGAAGATATTTAAAATACTGCTTTCATAATTATCATGTTTATACTTAAGCTTGAGGTGCAGTTTTATTAGCTAAGGTTATTACTAATAACTAACATTTATTGTGTTTTTTAATATATGAAAGATATTGTGTGAAGAACTTTATTTGTATTATAATATTCTTGTCCTATTTTGTAGATAAGAAAATTCAAGCTTAGAAACATATAGTAAATTGACCAAGATCTTACAGGTAGGAAGTAGTGGAGCCTGGATTTAAACCCAGGCATTTTCACTCTCAAGCCTCTTGTTCTCTTGCCTGCCTTTAGTATCTAATAGCAACATTATACCAAGGGGAAATTATGTGCAAAGTAAACTTTGATACTGTCCTTTTTAAAAGCCACTTTGTGCACCCTCAGTGTGATTATTATTTAGGCAACTTTCCTATAAAGAAAATTAAAACATGCATAAAAATGGAGAGCGCTCCAGTTCTTGGTATCCCCTCACACAATGTCAGTGTCCTTCAGCACCATCAGGAGTGCCCCAAAGCACAGGTATTGTGATGCAATCTACACTACAAATGTTTTTCATACACACTTTATGATTTTACTCTAATTGTGCTACTTTGTGGAGACAATGCCAACAATCTATCTGTTCCTCTTCCCCAAAATAACCTTTCCTTGCTTTAACAGAGATTTTAAAGAGCAGCATGATGTTACATTAAATTTTTATGCCTTAACCTAGAAATATCAGTTAACATTGAAACTTATTTTTATTAAATGACTGTCTTCTGTCAGGTATTATTACCAACTACAGTAATACCAACTGTCAGGTATTATTACCAACTACAGTAAACTATGAATACAGTATTCATAGTTTATTTTTTCATTTGTCATAGGACAAATCTTCATTTTATGTATCAAAAAACTGAGACTCAAAGATATTAAGTAAATTGGCCAAGATCACAGCTAGCAAATGTTTGTGTGTATTTGATTTTTTTTCTAAAAACAAAACCCACACACAAAAAAAACCCCCTGCAAATTTAAAGTGTCCAACTAATCATTTTGTAAGGGGTTTTAACATTTCAGTTTCTACCAGATGGTTACTTCAGTGTAGTTTCCCTTGACACTGATGTGAATGCTTATAAGATTAACTAGGATCAGCAATGTCATGAGGTATTGCTGGAGGAAATTTAATATAGTAGAAGTATTATAAGGTAGTTCTTAAGAGGCAAAATGTTCTTGGATGTAAATAGTGCGAAATATTATAAGAATAGATGCATTTTATTTGCATGTAATAACATGAAATGTCATTTTTTATATTGCCAGATTTTAAAATGAAAAAAGAAATATATTTTCTAAATTTAATTAGCTGTACTATAGGTATTCAACACTACTGTTGTTGAGCATTGTCTTGCAAGAGGATTGGCCTGTCTCTTTTGACCAGTCTTGGCTGCTTAATCACAAGCATTCTCATCATTTCATTCAATTGGTTGCAATAGACATCTGCTGTAATTGATTGACCAGGTTTCATGAAGTTATAGTGGATAATACCAGCTCTGGACCACCAGAGACCATTAGCTTTTTTTGATGAATATTCGGTTTTGGACTGTGTTTCGGCACTTCATCTTTATCCAACCATTGTGCCAAACACTTGAGAATGTCAAAAAGAATCTATTTGGTTCGCCCTTATGTCATGACAGCAAAGAAAGACAAGCTTGGACATGATTTCTCTTTTTTTGCTTTTTTAATTCATGTGGTACCTATCTATCCAGCTTCTTTACCTTGCTGATTTGTTTCAAATGGTCCAATATTGTTGAAATAGTAACCTTTCTGCTAATTCACATGTAGGTTGAGATGGATTCACTTCCACTACAGCTTTCAGTTCATAATTATCCACCTTGGTCTTAGGTCGCCCACATAGCTTATTTTCAAGATCAAAATCACCAGAATGGAACTTCTCACACCATTGATGTACTGTGCGTTCATTATCCACATCCTTCCCAAACACTTCATTGATATTTCAAGCTGTTTGCACCACATTGGTCCTGCAATGGAACTCCTATTCAAAAATAACACAAATTTTGGACTTATCCATCGTTTCATAAAAATTGCTCTAAAAAAATAGAGAAATAATCATGAGCCAAAATGTACATTTAAAAGACTGAGGATGTACCTTCATAATAAAAATAAAACAAGAAATGTCAAAGTGAAATGTCAGAGATATCAACTGTCAAACTTAGTACTTAAGGAAATCAGACATTTCATAATTATGTAGTAGCTCCCACATACCCTCTGCTCAGTTACTCTCAGTAGTGACATACTGCAAAGCTACAGTACAATATCACAGCCATGACATTAATATTAACAGTCAAAATACAGGACATTTCTGTCACCACAAAATCTCTTATATTATACTTCTATAATTGCCACTATATTTCTATAATTTTGTCATTTTAAGAATGTTATATAAGTGAAATTATACTTTGTGCAACCTTTTGAGATTAGCATTTTTTTTAACTTAGTATAATTCTCTGGATAATCATCCAGGTTGCCACATGTATAGTTTGTTCTTTTTTATTCCTGAGTAGTGTTCCATGGTATGGATGTGTCACAGTTTGCCTAACCATTCATCCATTGAAGGACATCTGGCTTGTTCCCCAAACAGTGTAAAATCTGGTTTCTTTCACAGTACTAAAGATTTTAGTTTTACATCTTACACACTTCAGTTCATGATCAATTTAGAGTTAATTTTTGTATAATATGTGAATCTTAGGTTCAGGTTCTTTTTATTTCTTTCTTTTTATTTTCCTTTTTGGGGCTATGGATGCCAGATGATCTAGCACCATTTGTTGAAAATGTTGCCTTTCCTTTATTGAATTGCTTTTGTACATTAGTGAAAAATCAGTTGGACTTATTTGTGTAGGTTGTTTTGTAGTTATCTGTCGTGTCCCATTCTATCTATAGTAACTCTCTGCCAATATCATAAAATATTGATTACTATATAATGTCTTAAAATTAGATAGACTGCTTCTTTCCATTCTATTTTATTTTCAAAATTGTTTTTAGGTATTCTAGCTCTTCTACCTTTCATATAAATTTTAGAATAATCTCATCTATATCTACAAAAGTTCTTGCTCAGATATTGATAGGAATTGAATAAATCCTGTATATCAACTTAGGAAAAATTTAAATCTTTAATATGATTAGTTTATCAATCTTTCAACACAGTATATTTCTCCATTTATTTAGAGCTTTGATTTCTTTCATCATCATTTTGTAGTTTTCAGCATGCAAGTCATTTATTTTAGATTTATAGCTAAATACTTCATTTTTCTTGAATGATTGTAAAGGATATTTTTACATTTTAGTGTTCACATGTTTATTTTTAGAGTATCCAAATACAATAGATTTTGTGTGTTTATCTCATATCCTGCAAACTTGTTGAACTCAGATATTCTCGGAGTTTTTTATAGATTCCTTGGACTTTTTCACATAGGTGTATCATCTGCAAATAGGGGGAGTTTTCTTTCTTTTCAGTCTCTATACATTTTATTTCTTTTCCCTTTCTTTTTGCACTGGCTTTAACTCCTAGTACTGTGTTGAATAGAAGTGGTTTAGAGAGGACATCCTTTCCTTGTGCCCTATCTTAGGGAGAAAGCATTCAGTTTCACTATTAACTAATGTTGGTGGTAGGTTTTAGTGGATACTCTACCAAGTTAAAGAAGTTCTTTTTATTTCTATTTTTCTGAGTTTTTTTTTTTAAATCATGAGTGGGTGCTGAATTTTATCAGATACTTTTTATGCATAGATTGATATGATCATGTGATTTTTCTTTATCCTGTTAATAATGGAGTATGTCAGTTGATTTTCAAATATTGAACCAGCCTGGCATCCCTTGAATAAGCCCCATTTGGTCATTTTTTAGATTGCTGAATTCTATTTCTTTAATATTTTGTTAAGGATTCTTGCATCTATATTCAAGAGGGATATTAATCTACAGTTTTAATACTTTTATACTTTTTTTTAATACTGTCTTTGTTTTGATGTCAGGGTATTACTAGCTTCATATAATGAACTGCAAAGTATTCCATTCTCTTCTGTTTCCTGGAGAAAATTGTGTGTAAGTTAATTCTTTAAATGTATGGTAGAATTCTGTGAATCAATCTGGGCCTGGAGATTCTTTTTTTTGAGACGAGACAGAGTCTCACTCTTTTGCCCTGGCTAGAGTGCCATGGTGTCAGCCTAGCTCACAGCAAGCTCAAACTCCTGGGCTCAAGCAATCCTTCTGCCTCAGCCTCCTGAGTAGTTGGGACTACAGGCATGTGCCACCATGCCTGGCTAATTTTCTATATATTTTTATTTGGCCAATTAATTTATTTCTATTTTTAGTAGAGACAGGGTCTCGCTCTTGCTCAGGCTGGTTTCAAACTCCTGACCTTGAACGGAAGATTTCTTTTGTTGGGAATGTTTTAGATGATGCATTCATTTTTCTTAATAATGATAGGGCTCTTCAAGTTATCTATTTCATATTGGATAAGTTAGGGTTTTTTGTGTTTTTTGAAGAATTGCTTGATTTCATCCAGTTGTCACATTTATGTCTGTAGGGCTCTTTATAATATTCTCTTATTATCCTTTTGATGTCTTCAGGGCCTATAGTATAATCTCTGTTTCATTCCCTATTTTCGTGATTTGTGTCCCCTTTCTGTTTTTCCTTTGTCACTTTTGCTAGAGATTAATCAATTTTGGCTGGATACTGTGGCTCACACCTGTAATCAGTCTCAGCACTTTGGGAGGCTGAGGCAGGAGGAACACTTGAGGTTAAGAGTTTGAGGCCAGCCTGGGCACCATAGCAAGACCTTGTCTCTACAATAAATAATTTTTTAAAAAATTAGCCAGGCATGGTGGGCCATGTCTGTAGTCCCAGGTGCTTTGGAGGTTGAGGAAGGAGGATTGCTTGAACCCAGGAGTTCAAGGCTGCCCTGAGCTATGAACACACTACTATACTCCAGCCTGGGTGAAAGAGCAAGACCTTATCTCTAAAAAAAAAAAAAATTTAATAAGATTTTTTTCTTTGCTAGTTTTCAGAAGTTTGACTACAATGTATCTTGGTATGGGTATTTCTTGGGGTTTATCCCATTTGGAATCCACTAAGCTTCTTGAATTCATAAGTTTATATCTTTTGCCAAATTTGGGGAATTTTCAATTTTTATTTCTTTGAGTAATTTTGCAGCTACTTCCCACATATGGAATA